GGCGGTCCCCCCACGCCTCGCCGACGACCGTCGCAACTTCCGCCGCCTCGCCGCCTGTTGACTCGGTGGGCCCCTGCCGTCGCGACGCCTCAATGGCCACACGCTCTATACGCTGCTGCACCTCCGCCCAGCGCCCCTGGAGCAGCAGCTCCGCAAAGACGGTGCCACTCGCTGTGGGGGCCTCGCCACACGGCGCCAGCGCCACTTTCCGGCCCTCTACGTGCATCCATCCTGGTGCCGTGTGATCGACGCGGCACGCCGCTGCGAGCTTCGGGCTCTGCTGCTCCACTGCACGCGCAGCGGCCCACCACCGTTGTAGCCGCGCCACAACGTCCTGTTCGGCCGATACGGTCAGCGGTACAGCACCTCCATCCTCATCGGTCTCAAGTGGAATCTCTGATACTTGTATGCGCTGTCCAAAGTGCTGGACGTACTGCTGGAGGACAGAGGAAATATCAGCAGAGGAGATGTGACACCGTTCATGCGGTTTCTTCTGCTGAAACTGCACTGCCCATGAAAGCACCGCAAGACTCCGCTCCCAGGACGCGTCAACAGTAGAGGAGCGAATAAAGGGCAGTGACATCACAGGTGGCACTGCATCTCCATCACTCCGTCTCGGCAATTCTTTAGCAGGGGCACACAATTCACACACCACTACCCATTCTTCTTCCCTCCGTAATGCCAATCGGTGATGTACGAGCAAATCTACGTACGCCTTCGCCCCACGGCGGCGTAGCGACGCCTCGAGTAGATTTGCAGCCTCTGGGCTGCTTCTGCTCGATGGAACCACTCGTGACGGTGATAAAAGGAGCACTCTCGATACCATGGGTTGCCACGACTCAAAATCAGTTCGTGTGGTGCGGAAACCGCAGTAAACCACCCACTGCTGCAGCGTGGCGTGGAGCCTTGCTTGCTGCTTCTCTGCAAAAGTCGGAACAAAACTCTGCTGATGTTCTTCTTCATCCACTGCAGTGTTAGCACTTTCCAAATGGGAACTGTTATCTTCGCCATCAAGGGCGACTAGGTGCTGCAGCGTCCGAACCGATCCAGGAACAATAGTCACTCCTCCTCCGATACCCACGCCACCGTTGTGCGACGCGGAGACGAGAGCAGCCTCTGCCCAGCGTTTCGAGCACCGTTCTTGAAAAGCCGATGTGTAACGCAGCGCCTCATCAAGTAGATGACGGCAGTTATACGGTGTGCCTGCGCAAAACTGGCGCCCCGCGACCCCTTGCAGACCCCGCAACGCGGCCCGCACGTACGCGCGCGGAACAGGAACGCGACCGGCAGTTACTGCCGCTGACTTACGCAGCGCCATCCTTCCCCTACACTTGAATGGGCGCAAATGTACCGGAGAAGCAAAATAGACGTAAATTATCATGTGTTAAGAAGACATAACGTCTCACCATCCCTGCGCTTTCCCCCAGCGGGTTTTACTGACCATACAGGAAGGGTAAAGATGTCGGGCCAGAAAGAGACAGAGTGTGTTAGCTCGCACTCTTGTAGTTACTGCCATTCGCAGACAGCACAGAGACCCCGTCGAGGCAATAACAACAAGAATTCCGATACTGCTGCTGCTTTTCCTGCTGAAATCCCGATATTCACGCCCAGAACCCGTGTCTGTACCAAAAATGAGCGGGTATTCACCTCAGAATTACTATGTGAAAAAAAAAAGCGCCGAAAAGGGACTGAGGCAAAGTAGAAAGCGTTACAACCAGACAGCGAGAAATGGTTGCAAACAAAAAAAAAAAGCAACCGGAAAAAAAGAAGATTCACTGAGGCACATGAAGCCGATTTGAAATAAAAGCAAAGCAGTTTGGTAAATATATATATATATATATATATTTTTCTTTTTGATTCCTGTATATATCTATTTTTTTTCTTTTTGATTCCTATATATATACATATATATATATATATGTATATATGTATATATACCGTTTTCCCCTTTGTGGGTGCATCAGTCCCTTTTTTGCTGTACTCCTCTTTTAGCACCGAAATTGTAAAAACAAAATTCATCACTCCCCGCGTGCCATACCGTGTCAATTAGCGTACTTCACACCCTGAAGTGGCACAGTAGTTGCAGCCCGCCACGCATGGTCCAGGTAGTTGTACGCGCGATCAATGGAATTACCCTTCACAGCATCCGAGAGAGCAGCCCCTGCAGTTGCCGCAATGCTTTCGAATCCAAGGAATTGGAACAGCTGTTGTTTTGTCGTGTACAACTGCAAGCTCGTGCACAGCACGTTCGGCGCTGGCAGTGGGAGGAAAAACGGCGGTCCCTGGTCTACTGTGTCAAGGGCGACAGACAGTTGAATGCTGGCGATTTCAGTGAAAGGTATGATCTGGTGAATGCTGACAGGTGCGTTCTTCTCATTAGAAAGACCTGTTTCCTTCAGCACCGCACTGGTTGCCTGGGCGAGCGCGGAGGAAGTCTGAGCACTGAAGCAGAGGTAATTCTTGGTGATGTGCAGGTGCCCATTGACGCGCAGCCCGGCGTGCATTGCGGCACACGCGTAGTCGGCCAACAGCACTTCACCCATTGCACTCAGCTCCGGGAAGTTGGATTTGAAGCGGTCAAGATTAAGCTGCCGCTCAAGCTGCCGCACTCCCTTTTCGGTGGCTTCTGTCACTTCAGCGCTCGCGCGCTCCACTTTTAGTGCCACTTGCTGCGCAATGTTGCGGAAGTTCGAAGCGGCACTAGAAAAGAAACCAGCGACATCAGACGCAGGAGGGGCGCTCTCAGATTGCGATGTTGTGTTTTCTGTCGCAGACTTCTGCTGTTGTTTCTCCTCGCGCTCGTCCAATTGTTGATGCTTCTGCGCTCTGTACTGGCGAAATTGCTCGTCCGGTGTGGGTAGATCACATGGCGGGTGCGGCTTAGGGACAGGGCCGGTGTACGTCAGAGTGACGAGCTCCACATGGCCGCTCGTTTCGTTCCGATCACTTGACATTTTGAGTGTGTTCTCCTTTCTTCTTTCCAATGTGGTACCTTTCTGTATTCCATGAAGGTTGAGCCCAGCAGAGAACAGACGCACATTTAAGGCTCAGCAGTGATTTCCAAGACTCAGAGCAGCCCGGTGCCGCACCTCACCTGCCCTCTCTGGCGTTGTGGTGACGGTGGCGACAAACAAACAGATCGTAAACAGAAAGTGCGGAGGGTCCGCGAAGGGAGGACAGAAATCTTAAGGAGCAAAGAGTAAAAGAAATGCTCTGTGTACTGACAAACGCAAGAAATAAGAGCCGACTCTGTGTCCTCTGCAAAACAAAGAAAAAAACCGAACTCTACAGCTCGTCGGGCACTTTGTGTTGTTTAATATAGATATGACTCTAAAAATAAAAACAAAAAACCGAAACGAATATTGCACATTTGATCACAAGATGGGGCATTTTTTTTTCACCCTCAAATCCCTTTTTTCCCCACTGAGTCACAAAAAGCTGGCACACCCCGTTGTGTTTCTATTCCATATATCCTTCCCAGCTCTCAGAATCGCACACAGAGACAGAATCACANATCCATGCAAAAGCACAGCTCTCCCTCCCCACACCGCCCTACTTTAGTCTTCTATTTGCTTACTGCCAAGGCAAAAAATAAGAAAGATGCCCAATCAACTGGTAGCTGCTTTTTTTCATTTAACGCTAAAAAAAGTAACACAGCAAAACACCAGGGAAAAGGTGGCACCCCTGAAGGGAGGAAGGCATAAGAGGGACGGAGAGACGCGCATCAGTCAAATAAAGGAAGAAGAGGCACCTCGTCTACTGGCGTGAGCCGCCTCTCTCCCCCCGCGTCTGTGCATTGTCCTGCCGTTGGCTGCTTCACTATTATCTCGTTACTGTCGTAGGAAGGCAGGTGAGTCCAAACGTGAAGCCCCAGACCCAGCGAACGGTCTGCCTACACGTCAAATACGCCGACAAACGACACTCTTGAATTTCGGCGTTGTAGTTTTGGGTGCTCTTCTTCATCTTCGTTTTCCGGTGGAGGCGGGGGCGGAGGAGGTGGTGGTGCTGGCGCTGGCGCTGGCACAATATATGGCATCACCCCCGCGGCGCTACTGTTATTGTCGTAGCCCGCGCGTCCTTGCAGCGGGTTCGCGTAATCAGCGTAAGAAGGAGTCGGCATTGCGGGGAGTCGGTGATACTCTGGCACCTCTTGCCACGGCCCTCCCTCCGCATTCCCGAAGCACCCCCACGCCGCTGGTGGCGCATTCACGTAGTCTATCGCTGGTGGAAGGCCATACTGCTGCTGCTGCTGCTGCAAGGGCGGCATGCGGCTTATACTCTGCGTCTGAGGACCCCCTCCGGTAAAACTTTTCTTCCGCAAATCAGTATTCGAGTACGATCTGCTGGTTCTCTGGGGAGGACTGATGTTTCTCGATGGCATGTTCTGAGCTGGCACCCCTATATCATGGACACCACCCTGATGTCTCCGTCGCCTTTTTAAGCACAACACAATTATGATGGGCACAATTATAAGAATGAGAGCGCAGCCACCCGAAACCCCGATGACAATCCACATTGTTTTATTATCCGTGTCGTCGGTGCTTCCGCTTTCGCTCCCTAGGGAACTGTTGGTTGTATTGACTACGCGTGAAGGAAACATTTTGTTGTGGAATACGTTCGCCCTATACTTCGTGCTTCCCTCGCCTCAAAACATAAGAGGCCCCTTCTTGGGGATATTCTTTTCGAAAAACACAATGAATGGACAAGAAAGGCAATAATAATAATAATAATAATAATAATCCAAAAAAACACACGCGGACGATAACCGCACAGAAACACGGAAAATGCTCGGCCATTGTCTTGTTTTTTTTTGTGTTTTCGCAGGTCTATACAGCTGATGAGGAACGATAACGCTCCAAGTAATCTAAGAAGTTTTCGTGGCCACCACCCACCTTTACGGTGAGCTGCCCACTGTCAATCGACAAGTGCACCACCCGCGTGGCGGCACTCTTCCCCCTTCTCGCATGAATACCGCGGTATCCAAAGTGGTATACGCACGGCGACTGCCGCGTCATTTGTAAGTTAATTCCGCGCCGACGTGTGTCTCGGACGATTTCCTGCACCATTGCGTGTATGACTTCGCCGAGTTGTTCTTTCGTCGGTGGCGGGGCCATTGCGCGACGGAGTCGCGTGATCATGGCCACGCTGTACTCTGTCCCGCTTCCACACGAGGCACCAGCCCTCCAGAGGTCTTCTGCGGCAACGTGTTTCGAGCGAGAGCGCGGCGCTACAGCTTCTTCTTTTTCAGTAGGGGGGACCGTCGGTGGGGCGAGCGACGGTGTCGCACGCCTCACAACTGAGGGAGATCGGCGTTGCTGCTGTTCCGTCGACTCCCTCCCACCGGAGTTGTCCCTAGGGGCGAGTAACCGCTGGCGCTGCAGTGAGACGGTTTGCTTCTTCGTATGCTGCGCGTCACTATAGTTTTTCCCGGGAACCATGTTTAGAGTGCAATGCGTGAGCGGCGTCTTCATGGCCGACCGCTTTGACGAGACACTATCGCCACGACTAGGGGGAGGCGACCCGCTGCTCTTCTTTTGTTGTTGTTGTTGTTGTTGTTGCTGATCTTCTTGCTCTACTTCTCTCAGCGGACCCAATGGATAGTTCAACAGCTGCATTTGGTCTATCTGTTTGTGCAGAGACATCAACTCTTTTTTCAGCCTTTGGTTCTCCTTTTGCAGCTCTCGCGTGAAGGAGAGAGCTGAATTGGAAATCCGGAGCTCGTCGAGCTCTTGCTGCAGCGCCGCTGACCGTGCGCGCTCATCTTTGATGACTCGTGAGGCCTTCTGCAGAAGCTCGACAAGGTTTTTGTCCTCCAGAGCCTCTTCTTCGGCCTCATCGCTTTGCTTTGGGGACGGGCTGCAGTTGCGAGGGGGACGTAACGGTGGGAACCCGCGGCCACTCGCTGCTTGTGGTGGGGAGAGCACCACGACCTGGTTGACGTCTCTCTCCCTGTCGGCATCGCTGAGGGAGGAGACACCCGACACCTCCGCCGCGGGCTGTTTCATTGCCAGCACCCCGCTGTCGTGTGCAAGTGCTCTCACACCAGCCCCAGCTTTTGCTTCTCCACTTTCTATTCTGCCTCTTGGGCCCTTCTCCGCTACGGCACACCACGGGCCGGGGGNGGGGGGGGGGGGGGCGAGGGGGAAAGAGAGGGATAGATAGATAAATGGCGCAGCAACGAGTAACAAAAAAACACACTGAGGGCATGTGCCAAACTCACTCCACCGTGTAACTCAGCCCTCACGGCAACAGCAGAAGCAGGATACGAAACCACAGGGCTCCAGCGACACGCTGACAGAGATTCAGTCAAAATAGTTCATCACACCGGACGGCCCCTTCCTGGCGGGAAACCTTCGCTCGGCACCGGGCCCCGCGTCGCTTTCGTGGCACGTGTCACTTTCTTGTTGTACTCCTTCCTGCCGGCACCCGCCTTTGCCTCCTCGCGACGCATGTGCGCTTGGATGCGCCAACGGTCCTCCGTCGAGACGAGGAGTCGGCCAATGACGATGGAGGGCTTCGCCCCGACACCATCCTTATCGGCTGCGTTCAGCAGGCGCCACGTGGTGTCTGCGAGTCGGCTGTACGCGGAGCTCTCGCTCGGGGGAATATTCGGGTACTCAATGAAGTACTTAACAAACTGGGTATAGTCTGGCATCCAGGTAAGACTCTACACCCCTTTTTTGCGCGCCCTGTTCCTCCTTCCTTTCCTTTACTCTTCGCACTCTCTATTGCTGTGCGTGTGCAGGTGAGCAAAAACAGGAAGGAAGGGAGTGTATGTGTGTGTGTGAGAGAGAGATCAGAAACAAAAAGTAGAGAAAAACACGAGGAAAATGTAAAAAGTGCGAGAGAGAGAGAGAGAGATGGATACAGCAGGTGCATGTGTGATGTTGGTAGCAGCATTACGTTAATTACTCGCTGGGGAAGTAGCTGCGCACGCGGTCCTCCATCTCCTCCGGCGTAGCGTCGTCCTGTGCCTCGACGATGCAGGAGGCCACCGCGACTGTCCGCCGCGTGCCTGCCGTCGGGTCGACGCCGCTCGGCTGCCCGCGCACCCACACCAGCCCATTGACGCCAACGCACACCTCAAATGGCACGCGCGCTCCCAGTAATGACAGCAGGTGGGACGCGCCGTCAGTCGCGAGAAGGCTGCGAGCGTGCGGCAAAGAGACGCGCACAACGGTGCCGCCCGTGAGGGGGCCAAACACAGCATCCGCGGAGGTCCAATCCTTCGCGACAAGTCCGACCTCAGCGGCCATGCAGCTCAGCTCCACTTCGTCTCCGGCCTCTTCGCCACTCGGCCTCGGTTTCACGAATGCGTACACAACGTCGCCTTCCTGGAGTCGTGGACGACTCGCCTTCGTCGCGCCGTCGAAACTCAGCACATCGAGCACTGCCAACGACGCGGCACCAGTGTAACACAAGTAGTAGCTCGTTGTCTTTCTAACTACGATGGCTACAACAGGATCCTTAGGGGCATATGTGTAACGACGAACAGCAGGTGCGTTGATTGTGTACCGCCACACATGGTTTGGCCCCATTTCGCGCGCCATCGGCCCACAGAACTCTGCAACGACAACAGTGTTATTCTTCCCTTCCCCACCGGAGCCGGTACCACAACCTTCACTCTCGTTGCCGGACAGAGACTGTGGGATAGGGCGGAGACCGTTGCCGAGTGCCACAACTGCCGTCGGCTCCAGCAGCAGGACAGGATCCCCCGGCAGACACACGTGGGCCCGCAGCAGCGCGAGTTCGTGCACCCCACCGGCTGATGCCGCGGCCACTGACGTCTGCTTCATGTGCCTCTGTCCAATCTACCCCTGCCTTCTGTACGTGGGAAAGATAAAGGAAATAAAAAAAGAGAATCACAAACCGTACATCGACGAGGCAAGGTTTATACACATGTATAAATACACACGCATATCTAGATCTCCACAGACACACACACACACGCACACAAATTCGCACAGAAAGTGAGAAAATATTGTGGAGGTAACGGGTAATGTACGACTGAAGACAGCGTCATTCAAAACTAATTTCCAATCTCGCGGCGGAGCTGCGCAACCTCCGCCGTCAGCATAACCATTCGCTCCTTCCACGCAAGCGCCGCGGAAGGCACCCCTTCCGCCATGCAAGCCCGCGGCGTTTGCCACCGCAGAGACGGTGGTGACCGTGACGGCGTCACGGTGCCTTCAGTGTGTTCCGCATTAACACCACCAAGGCACTGTCGCTGCTGGTGCTGGTGCTTGTGCTGCCGCAGTATCGGGGTGTGAACGATTCCACATGGCGTGTTTCCCGTTACTGGTCGCATCTCGCGCGCTTGGTCGCGCACGCTCAGCAGCGTGGTCGCGACTGGGTTAGCCGGCGGGGCGGGTACAATGCGCCGGTATAGAGTTGGCGTATCGTTATGAGTATCCGCCTGCGAGTGGGCTGCTATCTGCTCTTGTAGCGCCGCCACTTCTTCCTGCAGTTCGCGTTGGGTCTGCTGCGCACCCTCAGCATACGCAGCGACACCGTCGAGGAGGCAACGAATGCGGTCTTCTGGTTCCTCGTGTGCACGCAACTCGAATATATCACCGACGCGATGCTGCGCAGTAACGTCAGCAAGTAGCTTCAATCGCTGACAAGCCCTCTGCAGCCGTTCTTCCTCCACTGTACGCTCCTCCCGTAGCTGCAGGAGTTGCCTTCGCGCACCGTCCATCTCCTCCTTCTGCTCAGTGCGCCGTCTCTCCCTCTCCTGGCCCAGCTGATGGAGCGCCGCCTCCAGCAACTGCTGCTCATGCGCCGCGTTTCTACGCATCGCATCAGCATCAGCGTGCGCAACATCTATGGCCTCCTTCACCCGTTGCTTCTCCTCGCAGAGCGCCACAATCTCTCGCTCCAGTGCGGTTTTCCTCTCTCTGAGTTTCTGGAGCTCCACAACGGCTTCCTCCTTCGCGACGCGTCGGCCCATCTCACGCCTTTCTTCCTCCGAAACTTTTGAAGCTGATGCCACTTCGGCTTCCGCTGCTGCAGCGATGAGCGAAGAGGTGACGAACGTGATGTGGGCGTTCAGGAGAGCCGCAAGCTCAGCCGCGTACTCCTCCTGTATCAGAACGCGGTGTGACGGCTCCTCCACACCGGTGATGGTGCTCTGCATATTATCGAGCAAGAGCTGATTTGTAACGTGTACCCATCCCGCCAGCTCCTCCTCGGCTACACGCATGCGAGCGGCGGTATTCACCATGACCACGCCCTAAACTTTGCCCCAAACGAATGAGAATTAATAACCGCAGCAGAAGTTAAAAAACGCAGACTAAGACACACACACACACACACGCACAGCAAAAATACAAAAGATCGGTCGGGACAAGTGGGCACCCCTTGCCGTATTGTTTTTTCACCCGCCACANGACACACACACACACACGCACAGCAAAAATACAAAAGATCGGTCGGGACAAGTGGGCACCCCTTGCCGTATTGTTTTTTCACCCGCCACATACCCCCTTGCTTCCACACTCACTAAAGATAGGAGCACCATTAAAAAAGACGACACCAAACCATTCAAATCAGAAAAGAACTGGGAGAAACGAACCACCCTCCCACCACAAAAAAAAAAAAGGGTGGCGGTTGCAGCTCATGAGCTTAGCGCAGACACGAACGTGTTCGACTGGCCGTCCTCCGCCGCGGTTTTGCCACTGTTGGCGGAGTGTCACACTCGGCTGCCTCAAACGGCACCTCAGGAATGACGAGCAGCGCTGATTTTTCGGTTCCGCACTGCTGAACACTTCGTGCGACGCCTGTGCGGAACATCACAGCTGTGGCGCTTTCAGCCACTACCTGCCGGACATCCTCCAACAGGGTTCCTCGTGTGTCGTCAAGAACGCACCGCATTTCACCTCTCAGAAGCAGCCGAAGCCTATGTTCAGGGGAACGGTACGTGCACGCAAAGATGGCGAGAGTGACTCCTGCCACAACCGCCACAGTGACAAGAAAGGCACTGCTGCCCACCGTGAGCACGAGCGGACGAAGCGCGTAGGCAGACCCCACCACTCCTATGCATGGGAGCCGTGCAGCAGTGGTGCGAGCAGGGATGGTAAACAGCACGAATGCCGCCAGGAGAACAGCGACACGCATCGCTTCGCCGAGACCTGCTGTTCCATCCACCAGCGCTTGTTGGATCCTCTCAACACGTTCCATTGCGTGCAACATGCTGGCAGTGTGTAACTCAGTTCGGCTCTGGAACGCTGCCGTCTCCCGCGCCACGTCCGCGACAGCCGCTGCAGCCTGAGCGGTGCTTTCGCCAAGTGCCACGTGCAGTTTTCTCAGACTCGATCCAGCATCCACAACGGAGCGCATTACCTGCTGCGTGGAGTCCCTCAGAGACTCGAACGCCGCCGTCTGGCCACTGTTCAGGTCCTGCAGTTGATCGTACAGTCGCCGTGTTTCGGCAAGGTTAGACGCCTGCAGCTCGGCCGCCGTCCTCACAGACATCTGTAGCTCACCACTGGAGTCATGCAAAGCCTGAAGCGCCTGTGAAACCTCCACTGCACCAGTGTAGAGCGCCTGCACAGCCGCCTCAGTACGCTCCTGAAACGCCTCCTCTTGAATGTACAGACAGAGTACGTCTGTGTGCAGGCGGTATTGCACGTACACAAGATATTGTGCGTCGTCCAGCTCGCGAACACATTCCCGCACGTCCTCATTCGAAGAGCATCGAGGCCACACACAGCGACCCCCGTCTGCCTCATTGTCGCACGAAGCCATCGCCAGCGCCAAGCGACTGCGTGCCCCGTCGTCCGTGCGCAACGATGTGCATCCCTTTTTTAGCGCGTCGACAGCGCTTTTCCAGCAGTGACTTATGCGACCCCTGGCTTCAGCTTCTGCTAACAACTGAGCCACGTTAAGTTTGCGGTGGGAGTCGGATTTGTGCCATGCGAGAGTGAGCGGCGGTATATTCAACTTCCCCCAGGCAGAACTGCCAGCTGCGTCACCTTCCTTTCTTAGCGCGGAAGTAAACGGTGAGGCGAGCCACGTTGGCCACGCCGCTGCACGGTGTGGCGACGACGAAACAAGTAGCACCAACAACAAGACATGGGGAACAATTCGAATGGACATGGGGTACATAAGCCGCACAACCAGTATTTACCTTGCCTTACACCTCGTAGTGGAATCCGAGCACAGAAAACAATAGGAACAGAGAAAGACAGCATAAAGTGAAGTGGGAGGAGGGGGCAACTGCTCATTGTGTTTCATCTTACACCACTTAGACCCAGTACACGCTAGTTACTCTCTGCAACACATCGATAGATCACAAAAAAAAAAAACCTCATCAGTGAAATGAAGAAACGGGCACCTCCCGTGGAATGGGGCTGTATAATGTGGGTCGTTGCCGTTGTTCCTGCTGAGGGGTCGTGCCCACTCCTGCAGCAGTGATACGCCCGTTCGAGGAGGACACTGACGCACCAGCATGGTAGTGTAACTGTTTTTGAACAGGCACCACACCCACCCGCGGTACTGAGTAATCGGGATTGCTTCCCAACCTTCCATTTCTCGTCCCTTCTGCCAAACCAGCCTGACGTTTTGCAGCCTCTTCACGCATATGCTGATCACGGCTGTGAAGGGTCACCTCGTCCAACGCCCGCTGGGGGGACGCGTCGTTGCCGTAACGCGCCGCCAATGCACGCCCAGCCTCATCCATCACGAGGCGCCATGTGTGCGGCCGCTCCACGCTGAACCTGCTCGGCACGATGTATTCACAATCACGGGGCTGTGTGGCAGGCATACTGCAGAAGCAGGGAAATCGCTTCCTTCTTCCCCCTATTATTGTTATCCCTTTTCTTTGTCGCCGCCAGAAAGGTACAGAAGTCTGAGGAGAAGGAGTTGAATGAACACACAGGAGATGCATGAGAACGGGACAGCCGAAACAAGGTGTAAACATCACGGTTGCACATCAATTAAACCACATGAGTGGGGGACTGTCCCTCCAGCACAAGCCGTTTGAGCAGTGCAGCGTGTAGGGGCTCCATCTTCTCCAAACAATGATGCTTCTGCAGCAGCACCCACACAATTAGAGCATCCTCCCCCTTATTATTGTCCTCGCGCTGCGCAGCACCAAAGGAAGGCGATACACAGAGTAATTCTTTCATTCTGTCAACCAACAGCAAGGACACACGGAAAGGGATACGCCTGGCATCACTACCCTTAACGTGATAAAGCACAACGCGAATGATTGCCTGCAGAGAAGTGTCACACATATCCTCGGCTCGGTACTCGCCAGCGTTCGCTGTGCTTCCACGGGCCAACGGCGATGACGACACACATGCTAGTTGCATAGCATGGCGCCAAAGCGTTCGGCTAAGCGCCGGCTCCACGTTCTGTGCACACTGAAGCGCCATCGCCCACCATGAAATCTCTCCCTCCCCACAGTGAGCCTCGCAGGAGCCACAAATACCATCAGCGGCGTCGGCGGCACATGCGGCAAACAGGGCAGCCAGTGTGCGTGGCTGCAGTGCCGTCGTGGTGCACCGCCGGTAGTGATGCAGAATACGCAGTGCGAGCGACCAACGCGACAATCGCCGGCCTGCGGGGAGAACATCACACTGCTGCGCGTACCGCCGCCAGAGGGAGGCATCAGGGTAGTGGTGATAATAATATCGCCCACCGCGCGCGTCCATGTCAAGCTGCGCGTGGAGGCGCTTCAACGTTTTGAAGGCCAGTCTGAAGACCGCGCGGATTGCATCTACCGAGCGCGGTTGGCGCAGAAGACTCTCCTGCTGTGGTATTGCCTCCGGAGAGAAGTGTGCTACTTGAATGCCAGTGAGGAGTTCACGGAACTGTTGTTCGTGTTCCTTGCCAAGCAACGGCTCAACTAGAGGAACATACACTGCCAGTTGGCACAATTCCGGCCCACTGAGAAACATCTCGGGCCATAAAACCCGACCATACGTACCCCAATAAGACGCAATCGTCGTCTTCGACATCCCCGGCCGAGTGTGTAGTGACGCCGGGGTCCTGCCGCCTCGCCGCCGCACTTCTCGTAACAGCTCATACTCGCAGAGCCACGGCCACCGCTGCGCCGCCAACTGTGACACGGAAGAACGGCACGCCTCCCATACAGCCATAACCGCCCGCGGCGATGCGAAACCGTTAAAGACTTCACACCGCAGCTGTTCCAAGAACTCAGACTTGTTCTCCCCTGCAGCGGTCCGAGATAACCGTAGCCACGCGCCCTCGTACGCTGTCAGAAGAACGTGCAGCAGTTGGTTGTTTTGGCAATGCTCGACTAGATGCGCATCGAAAGCAAATGCACCGTCGTCATCACAGTCATCCAAGTGCGCTAGCACCTCCAGCCGATAATGCTGAAGCAGGAGCTTCAGCTCGAACGGCCTAAAACGTGCCATAAAAGCCTGCCGCGAGAGCCCCTCCAGTCTCCTCGGCGTTGCGAGAATGATGAGCGGTGCAAGGTGGTAAAGCTGGCGCAGCTCCTCCGCACTCAGCGGCGGACGCTCCTTAGGCATCCAGCTCGTTAAACTTGTACACTGATGTGAGCTGTGCCGTCGTTGCACTCCCACGTTGGTAGAACTTCGCACGTCATCGGCGTCAACAACACCATCCTCATGTTCCTCCCACGAACCCCTTGACTTGGTGATAGCAAGAACCAGATCAAGAACCTGTTTCTCATTCAGGGAACGGCTGAGACGCTTCAGGTTCACCGCGCACGCGTCCCGCTCTACCGTTGTTAGCTGTGATCCCAAACACGAATGCAGAAGTACTTCGTATTGTTCCGGCGTGGGCGCGATACCCATTTCCTCCACCATAAACAAGAGCACCCTGCTGCAGATAATTGGGCCGCCATGGCACCGCAGGGAGCGGAGCACATCTGTGAGCCCCTTATCGAGGGAGTTAGCGCCAGGGGGAAGTTCCTGTTGCACCTTTGTCAGAAGCCGCAGCGTCGTTTCCCATGGCGCAGAAGTCGCAACACATGAGAGTAGCGCCCCAAAGACGGGGCCAGGTACACGACCCGTATTGTCAAACCGTTGATACGGGGCCACGCTGCTATTAAATAATACAAGGGCTTCTCTCCACGCCTGAAGCTGCATCAGAGTCAATAAGGCGCCCTCAACTTGCCGTCTTGAAGTGACATAATGCAGCCCATCTTCGTTATTTGCCACCGCTTCCGCCACAACACAATGTACCATTCTTTTTCGGCGCTCCTTCTCCTCCTTGGCGAGCACAGCTGTGCGGAACAGCACCTCGGGATCTGCCGTTTCACAGTGTTGCATCGCGTCGAGGGCACGCTCCCACTGCCCCTCATGGATGAAAGCCTGTGCGCACATTCTAAATAGCACACATTTATCTTCTTGCCATGTCCGTAGTACTTCACTTTTCTCCCCGCTTACGTCTTCACCACTACCACCACTACCACCACCACCACCTATGACGAGAAGCCTTGATGCATCAAAGGAGCTACGATGCAGAAGAGCCTTGTAAAGATGATTGACAGTGGACGGTGATGAGGAACCTTGCAGCCCCTCAGCCAGGATCCGCATGACGGCCCAGGGGACGGGAAGTTCACGCGCTGTCATGTGCTGGAGCAGTCCCACCGACACGCGAAATGCGCATCCGCGAAGTGCCTCATTCTCACTTGCCCAGAACGCAGTCAAAGGCTTGCTTAAAAAGTCAATATCGTCTAGAGACCTCATGCACTTCGTGAGGGACGCCATAACAGCTTCCACATCGGATGCTCGCGAAGGTTCCGTAATATGACATAGGATGGTTGACAGCAGCGTCTTCACGTGAGGCACTTCATCTAGCCTCTGGGCAATGGTAATATCCCCATCTGCGTTCTGCTCAGACATTAACTGCTGGAGTATTGAAAATGCTCCAACGTGGTTTTCGCTAACACCCAGTGCGAGGATCGCGTAGCAGTCGAGCACTATCCTGTACGGTGTGTGAGCCTCTCTGTACTTCTGGAGTACACGTCCATATAAAAGAGGTGATTGACGAATGTGGTAAAAGAGCTGTAAGCAACGCAAGAGAACAGGGTCTGAGGCAGTCGGTGTATGCGCCGAAACCACCATACAACACTCATCATAGCGTTGGTGATCGAGGAGAAGTTTTGCTACACTCTTTACAGCGTGTGGCGACATCCGCAACTGTGATTCTTCCTCGATTTCTCTTTTTCCTCCAAAGGAAACGGTCGTCTGGTCATGAGCGAGTCGGCGAATAACTTCCCATTTCTGCAGCGCCTTCATCCAGTCGCCACTTCTACAGGCGGAGCGAACGCATTCTTCACTATGCTGCATGATACAGTGACGCTGAAGCAAATTTTCCAATGCAGTGGGGTTCGAAACATGACGCAACAACGACAGCGCACGAGACCATTGCCCAAGGGCTCCACAGAGCGGGATGGCAAGGTTGCGCAGCGCCAGTGTGTCCCCAGGCAGACGCTGCTGGGCGTATTGCAGGGCTGGTACCCATAAACCCCTCGAGATGTAGAGGTGCTCCAGTTGGGGTGCCACCCGCTCCTGGGCACTCGGCTGCATCGCGCCGTACACCGCCATAGCGGCCTGCCAACGGCAACCCTGCACGAGCGCCGTGAAAACCACTGCGGGTCGTTCAGTGAGGGATAGTGCGTCTTCCCACCAACCACAGGCACAGGCAGCCTGCACAAAGGAGTGGAGGGCCACCGGCTCCAACGATCTCTTTTCTTCTCTGAAACGAGTGCTGATGAAAGTACTCATTGTATGTCCCGCCCGTTCAACCTCCTCCATTTTCTCTTGCAAGCTGCTGTCACCACCCTTGTTATCAGCGGCTGCAGTTTGCGCACGCACGTACTCAGCGAAAGAACAAGCGATGGTGAGAGCCTCGTCTATGGGGGCAGAAGCTAGGGAATGGGATACAGCCTGCCAGACGGCTTCCCAGTAGTAGTAGCGCCGGGCTGCAGTGTTGTGTAGCGCCATCGGCGACAACAACGCGCGAGACCGTGGTGCAATGCTCAGCAACGCGGGGAAACTGCGGAGCAAATTTAGAGCCTTATCCCAGTGTTGCTCCTTCATAGTGGCGAGCACCACTGTTGCTTCCTCCAGTGTGAAATCATCCGATTGCACATGACCCTCTACAGGATGCGTTGCTGTATGGAACCTTTTTTTCTCAGCGTCAATTCCCGGAAACTCAACACCTCTTTCCACCTCTGCGCGGAGTTCGCGTGCGGCTTGAGAGACACCCGGTTCGCTAGAGGAGGAGGAGGAGGAGAGAACAGATGCGACAGCAAGTGCCCGCCACCACGGCGACGTAGGCGTGAAACAGCGGATGAAACTCTCGGTGACATTCCCACTCGGTGCACTCCCTGTCACAAGAAGAGAGGACATGATTTTCGACCCAACTATCCACTGACGACCGGCTGCTGCTGCGAGCATCATCGGATGTGCGAGGGCTGGCACGTGTTGGACGAGGCGCTCCTGCGAGCCTGCAAGAATGGCGCCGCACCAGTCTCCGACACCCAACAGCAGATGGCTGCACTGCACGTGGTGGCGGGGTGCCAACGGCACTCGGCGGCGCCGGGCTGCGAGAATGATTGCAAGCAGTGAGTCCGCCGCCACACTACCGAGACCCAGAAGCAGTGCGTCCGCCGCCGTGTGGTACAGAGCGCGGGCAGAAAGCGGGCTAGTCTGCAGCCGGTCCAGCACTCGTACCGTGTCTTCCCAAGTGCTCCGTGTCACCACAGCAGCAACCACCTCCATGTACGTCCGAGACGTCGGGACGCACGGCAGCTTCACAGCACCGGCAAGGAGAGTTGCCGCGCGTGCCCAATCGCCGCGTTTCAGGGTGGCCAAAATCACCTCTTCCACCTCCCGTGCGGAGGGGGGCATATTCCAGACACTGTCTTCAGTACTCCCACACGATTTTTAAGCAATAGAAAATACAAAAAAGGGCATTTTTTCCCCCACGCTGCACACTCTTGTAGATGCTGAATACACCTAGACACAACCTTCACTCATGGTGAAGAACGCCATAATTCAAAGGGAAATCTCACCATCACCTTCTTTCTCTTTGCCATCAATATCAGTGGCAATAGCAGGACAAGAAATGGCCCTCGCTTTCTCACCCTCTTCGTCAGAGTCACCAATTTCTCGGATGACCTCCGAAAGCGTTCGACGTTGCACTGCAGCACTCTCCTGCAGCATCTCCCGTATCTCCTCACGCACAAGGTACAAATCGGCAATACGCTCCTCCATTCTCTTCACAGATTCATCGAGCAAAGAACGCTCCTTTCGGAGAGTGCTCACAACTGGTTCCAACGACTCACGCCGGTAGAGCAGGAGATACACCACAAGGGCCTCATAGTCCTGTCCCGTTGGAAACCAAAGAGACTGAGGAGAAAGAGCCGTGGTGGACTTTTTGTCGTGTTGCTCTACTGCTGGTGGTGGAACAGCAGCGGCATCAGCGGCGGCGGCGGCAGCAGAAGCAGCAGCAGGAGGAGTCTCAGCAACTTCGGCTTCGTAATCATCTGCCTGGAATGGTGCTTCGACAGCCTTCTTTCGCGTCGCCGGAGATGCACCAGATTTCCTTTTGTTTTTTTTGCGTAGTCGAGTGCTTCTATCGGATGCAACAGCTCTGCTTTTTATTTCAGTAGAATACCACGCAACTGGATTTTGCGTTCTACACATAACGCTGAGGGCGACAGTAACAGCAGAAGCAGAAACGCAAACACCGCAGCGCCCGCGCGTGCACAAACGCCGCGGTAGAATTGCCGTCGCCAACATTAAGACCCCTCTCTTCCAGAGACACGGGGGCGGGGAACTAAGGAGTTCACATCATTAGCAACAGAACCCAGTTTAATAAACGAGAAGAAGTAGAAATGAAGTGGCCACAAAGTTAGTGGACATGCATGTATAATTCATGTACAGCCTCCAGACCTGTCCTTTTCATCTTTATTTTTTTTTTCAGCTTAATTGGACCCAAACAGAAACAAAACTAAGGGGTCAAGTCAAAGGGGTGTCATTGCTTCACAGTGTACACGTAGAGGCGGTACATGTCACTGTCACCCAGTAGGGTGTGACGCACCTGGCTACCCCATCCGAACGCATCTCGCTTCGTGTAATGCAGCCGCATGTACGGCACCACCCACGTAATCTGCATAAAAGCTCCATACCCCTTTGCGTGTGCCAAGAGGTCATCCACCCCGCGCAGCATAGCCTCCACATCTTCCTCAGTCGTTTCACTGCTCTTATCAGCCTCAAGCGCATCCATTGTCCCTTTATCTATCACAGCGTCAAAGGGACCCAGTGCACGAAAGTCTTCAAGGTGACGCACGTCACCTACCTTCCACTCTGTGTTTGGCAGCACATCTGGTGGATATTTCGTCCGCATTTTCTCAATGACATTGGGAGCGTAGTCCATCGCTACCTGTTCCAGCGTAAATGGGAACTGGCGCGCTCGCACGGCCTCGTGCAGGTCGCTGCAGAGGGACGAGTTCCCCGTGCCTACGTGGAGCACCCGCAAAACCGGGCGGTCTCCTCCGCCCCGCGCAGCCGCTGAAGCGCGCTGAGCAAAGACTGTTGCGAGCTCGTCACATAACGCCTTTACTGCCGCCTCGTGAACGGAGGGGAACCAGTTGTACTGCTCCTCCTTGCTGTACCTTTGCTCCCAGTAGCCCTGGCGGCTGTACTCCGCAACGTCATCAGGCTCCATTGGAGCAGTGCCGTTGCCGTCTTTCACTTTCGGAGAAAAAAAAGAGAAAAAAAATATTTGAAGGGATGTTCTCACAAGGCACCACACGGTGAAAAATACGAGACTTGAGTATGCGTTCTCGCACAGCACACTTGATTAAAGGAGCGACCACACATAACCATGAAAACGAAAAAAAAAAGCGGGCCGATAAAGAAGAGAAAAAAGAACCGATGGAGAGCGCCAAGAACAAAAAAGACTACTTTTCACCCACCAACCGGCATTTAAAGAGTGATTAAAAGACATAACTTCTTCTGAATACGAAGAGTAGTAGAGTTTACACTGCTTGGACTGTCGCAGAGGTACAACTCATGCGAAGTTCAAAGCGATAAACAAAAAAAAAATCATTGTAAGAGGACCAAGTGGATTATTAACAAAAAAAATCAAGACAAAACGAAAGCAGCACACTTCTGGTGACAAGTTCGCACATGCCGCGAGAGTACACCGTCCCCAATGCAAAGGAAAAATAGTCCAAATAAACTCAATGCTCCTACCCAATGAGACGAGAAAAGAGTGTGAAAACAAAGCCTTGACTTTTTCCATCCAAAACAGGAGCAACCGAATCACTACACATTGAACTTCGTAGAGAGCGGAACTTCAATTGTGAAGTGAGAGAATTAATAGCCTGTTTATCGCCGTCGCTGAAATTGCCCTGGGATAGAGGGTCTTCTGCCCCACTGGTTTGTCCCACTGAGGACGACCACCAGCTCATCCGGGGCCAGCCGCTGCTCCACACGCAGCACGTCCCGTGATCTTGCGCCTGTGAGCCCCGCGGCAGACTCCAACGGTGGCCCCACAGCGTTAAGAAGCACTCGCAACACGCTGCAACGAACGTACTTCAAGAGAAGACTGTTGCCGAGGAGCTCGGTCCATCGGCATCGCAGCCTGACATGGAAGCCAAGCTGCTGACACGGCCGCTCCAATTCGCGAAGCCGGACGCAGATACCCTGGTCGTTCTGATACCAAAGTTTGTAGAGGATAGGTATCCACAGCGCCAAGCTGCCGAGCTCGTACTGTTCCTCTTGAGGTGGGTTCCCATTCCCCCTGAGGTCGTCAGCAGCAAGTTCCATGTCGCAGAATACCTCCATGAGGATGCACCGACATACATTTTCCAGATCCCCTGAACACATCCGGCTGACAAATGTTCCCAACGACTCGTCAGCACACATCACCTTCGATACATCTTCGGACATCAAGTAACAACGCAACGATCCTGGAGCTATCAGCCAATCAACGTCTCCCGGCGCAACTCTCCTTGGTTGACTAAAGCAAGCCATGCCTCCACTTGCTTGAAGAAAGTGGGTCCAAGAGCGGCCGTACTTGCCGTTGACGACAACATCGTACTCAGCAGAAAACTCCCTTTCAATGCGATCCTGGAGTCTTTTCGAGCACACGGATCCGGCGTGGGGTCGTTGCTGCTTCCGCATTGCGGTGAAGATGGCATGAACTGCCACAACAAGGGCCTCCTCAGCCTCACACACCACAGGAATGCTTGAGTAGAGTATTCCTCTACTGAAACTGCCAAGGGCCCTCGGGAGATCATCGCGCGGGTGCATCTAACCTGAAGATGTAAATACCTTGCAAGCGGGGTATGTGTGCGTGCTTGGAGGTGTAGAGTCTTCTGTAAATGGAATAGTGAAAGAATGTACCCACCGACACACATTCCAGCAGTATGGCGCAACAATGGAGAGGTGAAGTAGAGAATGTGAAACATAAATTTACCAGTCTATCGAACATGGAAAAAAAAGAAACAGAACACCAACGAGTGGTAGCCTCATCGCCTCCCTCTTATACCACAGTCACATTTTACCTGGCATATCATGGCAGTGCTACGAGCGAGCAATATCTCTCACACAGAGAGGAGGACAAATAGAGAGAGAAAGAAAGAATGAGAAAACTAAAAAAAAGATAAAAATAGACAATATGAGCGGGGAACGGTGCGAGGAGAACACCTCTCTCCTGCTGCAATGCACCGGCCGCGTGAAACACTTTCCCTTAAACAGCAACCATCGAACAAAAAGGAACAAAACCAAAACAAAGAATCACGCAGGAGGGCGGGAGTGAAAAGGGAGAGGACGCAGAATTCACCCCTGTAGGTCAAAGTTACCAGCAGAGGACAGGCGCAGCGAAGGGAGGGCCAACCTCGTCCCTTTTTTTGGTGGTGTACCGACTTGTCTCTTTCCGTGTGTATCTTTGTGTGTGACGGTGCATACTGTACTTATTTCTCTTTTCTCTCTTTTCACTTCCCCTCACACGTATGCCACCTTGGTTCCTTTCCGTCAACAAGATACACTTGGAGCAGTTATGCCACTTCATTTGTGATCCACACACCGTGGTCAAACCACCAAAGGGGGGGAGGGGGGCAGTTAGTCTCCTGCAGCAAAAGAAACAAAGACAACGAGACCACCTACGCACATATGGATGAAAAAAAAAATAACAATGGTAACTGAACAAGGGAAGATGTGAAGGAAGAATAGTCTATACCTTACCTACCTCTATTAAGTAAAGAAAGAGTAGGAGAAACCTAATATCCAATTCCCATCGCGCAAACAATGCCCCCTGATTGCATATTTGGAGGGTGTTCCAGTACACATCAAAGCATTGCCCATATAGGGGATTTAAATCATGTATCAAAACTGACGAAAAGGAGGTGCTGAAAGCGCCCTTAACCCGCCTCCCCGCGCGGAGGCGGAGATGGTTGGGTTGGGTTGGGTGGGCGTTTCAAAAACTTACACTTTGCGACTTTCCTACGGCAAGATATAAATACAAGAATGATGATGGATTGCAGGATCTCCTGTTAACAAGATTGGGTAAGGCTTGACCATTCCTTTCGCAGGCTTTCAGGAAAAAAAGGGCTTATGCCATTACTCACGCTTTCTTTTTTGCGTGATGAATTTTTTTGTTTCACCACCCGTCAGCAGAAAAGACACACTACGTTTTAAATTTATTCTTTGTCTGGTTCTCGTTTTCCAGCTTCCGTTTTTCCGTCGCCATCCACTTCGTTTTCATCTTTATTTTCTGTTTCTTTGCGGATCCCTTCTCGCTTCACCTCACTGTTCTCAGTTTCCAGAGGCTCCTTCGCCTCGGATATCTTTAAACGCACGTAGCCACGGTAGCGGTGGTGCAACCACCCCGTCAGCAGTAACCCAACGACCGTCAGCGCGAGCATGATAAGAAAGATTTCACGAACACACACGCGTCCGTGACACGACCCGTCCACCCCACCGTGACCAGCGTTGGCATGGTGATCATACAGTTCTCCAAATGTGAAGCGGTTGAGGATGAGGATTGACAGCATCGTCGCGACTGACATGAGGTTATAGTGTTTCGCCACATCACAACAGTAGAGTGTGCGGACTGTCAACACAATGGATGCAGCATAGCATCCATTTGCGAAACCGTTCAAGAAAAAAGGAACGGCTAACCCATCCGGTGGAACCGTAAGGAAAAGAATATACTCGACGATCATGAGCACCGGCGCGAAAAAGTAAGACGTTGTGATGAGCGTACGCTGCTCAATCTGACCGCGCTGCGTGTAAACCTCGTAGAGACTCATCAAGATTCGACCGAACCCACTACCAAGACCGTGGAGCGAAACGTACAAGGCGTTACGGCGCTCGTCAAAGATACTATCAATGGCCTTGTAGACCTGCGGAATGTTGTCGTTGATGACCAGCTCTGCACCCTCCACACAGAAACCAACAAAAAAAATCACCCACAAATCAGGTGTTAGAAGGTTGTGCCAGAAGGATGTGGTGTACGGCGGCGAGACGACCTCTGTCAAGCGCTCCCGCATCAGTGTTCCCTTATCTGCGGATGCCAACGACAAGAACGGCAGCGGCAGGCAAAGCCCACTCAATAGGACCACGAGGGCGATTGCCACAGCCGCAAAGACAACGCGAGCAGTCTGGCTCACAGTGAAAAATGCAACCACAAAATTCACAGTGACGAGAAACACGAGAAGCATCAGAATCACAACAAAGCCAAAGACGAAGCGGTACATGGGAGGCTTCTGTAGTAGAAATACGTCTTCAGTGCGCTCCAGTTCTTCCTGCTTCTCCTTCGTGTAGCGCCACCTCTGCCAACCAACGAGGTGATACGACGGCAACGTCTGCAGGAGGAGGTTCAGTCCCCCAAACACGAAAACAAAGGCAATTAGGAATAAGTAGAAGTTCGTGTACTGACCCAAGAAGAAGCACATATAAATCGTCGAGAGAACGGAACTTCCTAGCCCGGTCATTGTCTTCAGCAAACCAACGACATGTCCGCGGTTGCGCGGAAACCACGCGAGAACTGTAACAAGCGAGCCCAAGTCGAATGTCGTACAACCAATATTTGTCAAAGCGTAGAATATAGAAAAATTCACGACAGTACCCTCCAAGTGGTCAAGAAACACCAACACCAAGAGCACAGTACCCAGGCAAAAAAAAGTGACTGAGATACAGAGAACCGGCTTGGGTCCGGCAAAGTCGTAGAGTGCACCGTACGGAAGGAGGAATTGCCCAAGCATGGAGCCCACTGTAGTGATTGTTGTTAGCTCTCTCTGGGTAAAGTTGTAACGTTCTTGAATATACGCGCCGACCAGGCCAAATCCGAACATTGCGGAGACGCAGATACTGGCGAACAATGCTGCAACCAAGAGGCGAAAGCGGTAGAGCTCGTTGATTGGCTTGCCCTTCAGATCCTCTTCTCGGACGGCATAGTCAGAACTCTGGACCTCATCTTCATCCACATGGGACATTACAGCAGAAGGCTCATTTGAATGCATTTCTTTCCCTTTTGTGTTGTGATAAACCTGCAATTAATGAAAATATCCTTCAGGTCATTAACCAAGATGAGAAACATATAAAACCCATTTCGACACCTTATACCACACAAGTATTCCCAAACGGCCAGTTTAAGCACAGGTATCCCTTTTTTAAAATAGGAGTCTCTTTGCCTCCTCCCCTTACCCCTCCTCTTCGTCCCATTGTCATCCGGAAGTTGAAGACGGAACAAACTATTCCAAAAACAAAAAAACTCATTTAATTAAGTCGCGATCAGCTTCCCTCGAAACATTTGGACAAACTCGGTGTGTAAGTGAAGAGAGAATATCTGCGCAGTCACCCGCTATACACCACATCGTTGCTGACTGCTTCACCCCATGTATGAATTTTTTGGCAGCAAGGACCACTCCCTAGCTACAGTCATTCGACGCAAAAGCAAGATTGGCACAGGCTGCGCTCCACTCGCACCTACAACGACAAGAGACACACCATGAATCATAAGCTCAGACCCAGAATAATCCATAGAACGACATGCTGCTCATCTCAGCATGGATGATAAAAAATGGACGAGTAGGGGATCGAACCCTAGGCCTTCCGTATGCGAAACGGACGCTCTACCACTGAGCTACACGCCCCCATGACCGAGAGGGTGGGGACAAGTGGCATTCTTTCCATTGCACCTCCCCCCAAGTGTTCCTGCCTCATGCATCCCTTTTTTGGTTTTGCCGGCTATGCAAGCCCATCTAGTCCACACACCGGGCGAGACGTGTGGAAGGCGGTCGAAACTATATATATATATATATAACGAGGCAAAATGGAGGTAGAGGGAGAAAATGAAAGAAAGGCTGGCATAGTATTCTGTCTCAAGCACACATCATATAAAAAAAAAAAAAAATCAACTTATACAAATAAAAAGAAAAAAAAAATCACACACCAGCCCTTCTCTTCATTGTTTTAAGAGGAAAGGCCTGCAAACGGCCCGCTGCTGCCAAAGACGTGCGCAGTCTCACACTTTGCGTACAAGACAACTGCAAAATGTTTCAAAAAGAGAAGTTCTCCGCACCCATGGCCCACGGAAATTTTTTCTGAATTGTCGTGGAAAAGATTTTCCCAATGGGCACATTGTGCTCTTTCGCCCAGGAGCAAACAATGCGGGGGTCGATGTAGTTGATCTTGCTGGTTCCCAGAGATACCGCCTTGTTGTCGTCCTTGATGCGGATCACGTTCTCTTCACGGTTAAGGCGTTCGTCGTACCGCCGCAGTGCCGCATCAATGTCATGGGGGAACGAGCGCACAACCGGTGGTCGTGGCGGTGGCCCAACGGGTGCCAGTTCTTCCTCTTCCTCCTCCTCCAAATTCTTGGTTGTGTGTTCATTGACGAGGCCCTTCGCTTTTGCAATCTGAAAGAGAGTGAGTTCATCGCCGGATCCTTTTTCACTGCTTTCATTGCTTCCAGAAGAGGATACCGAAGAGCTGCTGTTACCGCCTCTACTGCTGCTGCTACTACTACTATCGCTATCGCTGCTGCTGTTATTATTATCATCATCACTGTCGGTGTAACTGCTGCTGCTGTCATCTGAAACTGCTGACCTCCGCTTCCTCTGACTATCTTCCCGTGGCCTCTTGGCCGGAGCCGCAACTCCAAGGATCACCGCATCCTCGTCATCTTCATCGTTGTGGTTCACTCTATGTTTCGGAGCAGGGATCTTCTTAGACACTGGCTGAGTGACCGGGGCTTTGGGAAGCACATAGGGTACTTTCATTGGTATCTTTACGGGTGGATGGGAAACTGGGGGTGTCGGAGCCCCGACTGCAGATTGTACACCTTGCGGCGTCACCTCAGCCATTATTTTTAAAAATTATTTTCCTTGCTTTCTTCCGTGTATTTTAGAAAAGACATAAATAGATATTGGGGACAGACACGCTACGTGGAGACTGTGTAGAAAATATGCATCGAAGGAGACATAAACTTCAAAAAAGATGGAATTAATAAGGGCTGCTCTATTTCGCTCTTCAACCCATGTCGTAGGGCATTGACCTGCGACCAGTGAGAGACAAAGCCACTTCCAAAACACTTGGCATGCTCTGCTCGGCCTTTTTTATTTCTTCGTCCTTTCCTGAGAAAACCATGCATTCCTAAGATTATTTTCGTTCTTAGAAATGTGCAATGAATTTATTTGTTGGTTGAGCGTGGCGCATATCACACAGATAATAGTACTTGGATTTTGGATGAGAAAAAGTAACACCATACGCAAAAAAAAAACGCACAACCGAAACTTCTTGTCTCATCCCCTCCAAAAATACACGTATATCCGCGAGAAACACAAAAGCACGCACTTACGTATGCATTGCATATATAGTGCGGAATAAAAAAAAAACGTGATTCCATGCATTCCACTGACAAGGAGTATGGCAGTGGCGTGAGCTCGGGGGCTTCAGGTTTTGAATTACAACGCCCTCCATTCTACATTAAAACAAGAAACAGCACAAGCAACGCAAAGACAAAACAAACAACAACAATGAAGAATCAGCTACAATTATAGAAACTGCATATATATATATATATATATATATATGTATAATTTTGTATGAGTAGACGTATACATTTATACGTGTACAGATGCACTAATCCATAATGCACATATATGTATATATATACTTTATGGAGTGGCTCTGAGAGCTTGTATAAGATAGAAGAAGAAAGCGATTGTGCTGTATCTTTCGTTGTTATCGCGCCCCTTACCAACTTGAACGCAAAAAAGAAAAGAAACAAAAAAAAACCTTCCAGTCCAAAAATTAGCAAAGCGAAATTCAAAAACCCACTTATCAAATCTGAAGAAATTATCTTGGCTACTCTAAAAGCAAAGGCAGCATTGACGCAGTTTTCGTATATATATATATATATATACGAAGATGGAACGAAAAAAAAGGCTCACGGAACGCTGGCACACGCCGTAAGAATACCTCAAATCATAGAGGCTGAACGAACCAGTGTTTGGTGAAAGTCTTCACGACCATTGCGCGCCCGTTGCACCCCTTCTTTGAGCCGCTGCCGTTCGCGCACTTTTTGCAGCTTCTCCTCCCACTGACGACGCCGCATGTTGACCTTCAACAGTATCTCGTTTTCCTTATTCACCATGTGATGTACGATCCGCCGTGATTTCTCAAGTTGCTTAGAAATTAGCTCCTTTTCCCGAACTTTCTCATCCATCGCCATACGCTCTTTGGCCTCTGCGTTTCGGTGTTCCCGTTGCTGAATTCGCTCCAACGCAAGAATCTCGGCCTCTGAGGGCAGACGCTGCTCGCTCATCACACGACTGTAGATCATCATGGCACCCACAGAGAGACAACGGCTGTAGGACCCATCCCAGGTGGGTCGTCCGTTGGAGGGATTATTGCTTCTCTCCATACTTGTTTTGTAAGGAGAACTGCTGCTGCGAGATATGTGTCCGTGCAGGTTTGAGATGTGCATTTCTTTGACCTCGTCGCTATCCTGCTGCTGGGAGAATTCAACATCCAACGCTCTTTCCCTTTCTTCCTTAACCAGCTTTTCACGAGCGCGGCAGACGCGTTCCAATTTCTCCTTTCTCCGATGCTCGTAGTGTGCATGCCGCATTTGCACAATGTTTTCTGGTACACCTGGTCCCATGAAATCCGTCATGTTACGCTGTAGTAGCTCCGTTGGACNATGCCGCATTTGCACAATGTTTTCTGGTACACCTGGTCCCATGAAATCCGTCATGTTACGCTGTAGTAGCTCCGTTGGACTCACGCCTTCTGATTTACAAGCCTTTAGACTTCTAGGACTATTCAGCACCCCCTTGATTTTTGAGACACTTTCAAAGTTACTCAATGACACAAGGCGAATGTGACTTCTGCCATCTGAAGACTGTGGATTCGGTCTCGGGCTTTGGGATAGTGAAGCCAATACACTTGATTGCGCCTCAGGAAGGCAGCTTTCGGAATGACGCCCGTACACAACCACTGAAGGTCGTTCTGGTATTTTTATGGACGGGGATGCCATCCCATGTGCAGCAATTTTTTCTTTCTTTGAAGCTACTGCAAGCAAAGTGTCGCCCGCGCTTCCGTTGCTTTTCCGCATGGCCATATAATGTAGTTAGCTTGCCGGTGTTATAACGCCTGATTAGTTTACGTTCTTCATGAATAAAGCAAAAAAAAAAAA